CCCTGCCTATCCCCCATCATGCCCTCCTTTCAGCAACATTATTTTTAAAATAACCCATTAAGTCCACTTAGAGCAGCCCATGTGTCCTTGGGTATGGGCCACCCACTGGAGCATGGAAAGTGTATCAGTGGCCACAGAGAGAGAGTGATCTCTCTCTCCCAGAAGCTACCCGTAGCCCATGGCTCCTCGTAAGAGTTGGGCCTGGAAAGCGCCTGACCATCTCTGTCCCCTCTATGGTGGGATATTGGCTGGCCTAAGCTTGCGTAGGTGACCACAGCTGCTAGGAGTTCATTACTGTAGTAACTGTTGGGTTTAGAAAACAGTATTTCATGTCCTTCCCCTCCATCTTCTGGTTCTTACATTTTTTCCATCTTTTTTTTTTCAGTGTTCCCCAAGTGGTGGTAGTGGTAGGGTTGATATAAATGTCCCATTTTCATGGCTGAAAATTCCCAGTCTCTTATTAACTATAGTCCACTGTGAAAAGAAGCTTCTCTTCTCTGACCAAAGTTGAGAGCAGCCAACATCTATGGGTATAAACATAAACATTTAGAAGGTACTTTGGTGGCCTGGGCATTTGCAAAATAACAGTAGCAGGTTCCACATTAGTGCCCTAAGAAATCCTGAGCTATGGGCTTTTGATCCAAATTATAGTACCAGGTATGAAATTCTCCTCCTGTGCAGCAGGTCTCAGTTCTGGTCAGAAAGTGGTTAATTGCCACCATTATTGTTGTGCCACTATGGTGCTAGTTGTCACAGTAAATACTGAACCATTCAAGGTCCAGCACTGGGCAGGACCACTTCAGCAGCCTGCTTAGCACCTTCCAGGACTGTGAAAGCCCAGCATGGAGCAAGTTTCCTGGTCAGTTTGAGACTGATATGTCTGGATCCAAAGCATGTGGCTTCTTCGGCAGTGGAGTCGTATTTGTAGTTATGGTAGTAATAGTGGCCTGTGTTCTTTTGGAGACCTCTGGGGCTTCCCTGACAATTACCTGTAGAGCGGTGCCCCAGACCCTGATTTTCGCCTCTCACCACATCAATACTATGCACCAAATGGATGGAGGACCTTAACATCAGATGTAATACCCAGAAATCTCTAGAAGAAAAAGTAGGGAGTACACACCAACTTGTAGACATGGCTCAGGAAAAAGTGTCTGAATAAGATTCCAATAGCAAAGAAAATAAGACCAACAGCTGACAGATGAGACCTTGGAAAAACAAAATTTTATATACAGCAAAGGAAACAGTAAAATGAATGAATAGGCAGCTTACAGAAAACTTTTCCAGAGCTTCATCTGACAGGGTCAGTCTCTAAGATACACAAAGACTAAAGTATCTAAACAGTAAGACAATAATCCAATTTAAATTTGAGCTATGAAACTAAAAGGAAAACAATTCCAAAGAAGAAATACAAGTGGCTAAGAAGCCCTTTAGAATGTGCTCATTATCTTTAGCCAAAAGTGAGATACAAATTAAAACTTTTTAAAGGTTCTGCCTCACCCCCGTGCCATCATCCGGAACACAAATGACAACAAACGCGGGTATGGATATGGGGAAAGAGAAACTGTTTGGTAGGAGCATAAACTAGAGCAACAACTTTGGAAACCAGCCTGGGGGGCTTCTCAAAAGCTAGAAATGGAGCTACCATGTGACCGAGCTATAGCCTTCCTGGGCAAGGAGACAACAGTCTGTATAGCCGACTCTAGAGACACTCACACAAGCATATTCATTGCTATTCTATTCACAGTAACCAGTAAACAGAGTCAAACTAGATGTTCTTCAACAAATGAATGCGTAAGAGAAACGTGGCATGTATAAACAGTAAAATATTACTCAACTATAAGGAAAAATGAAATAACAAAATTTGTAGGTAAATAGATGAAATTATTATTTTTTTTTTAAAAAAAAGATACTGAGTGAAGTAATTCAGGCCCAGAAAGACAAACCATGTATACTCTCTCTCATATATCGATCCTACTGTCAAGTATTTTATTTTGTGTATTTAACACAGAGTGCAAGTTGAGGCCAGGAAATTACAAAAGAACCTTTCTTGGGGGGAGGAGGCATGTTAAGGGAGGAAGATAGTGGATTCCAGGAAAAATGAAAGTAGGAAGGTGGGCATGGGACAAAAGGGCTTAGGCGGGGAAAGATGCGGGAGCATGCGTGAAATCAAGGGGTGCAAAGGACAGGGCTAATTCAGAGTAAGAGGCTCCAAAAAAACACATGGGAGGCAACAGCCCAATTTCTCCCAGCTGTGTAATAATAGAGGCCGTGTAAGAAGAAAGGTGAGGGGCAATAATGAATTTTAAGAGATTCAGCAGGACTGGGGGTGGGGAGCAGGGAGAGGAGAAGGTTGGAAGGGGGCTAAGGTTGTGTGAAGAGGCCTTATGGAAATCTAATTATTAAGCTACTTTCAAAATAAGCTGTTGACAAGAGTTGGAACAGAATTACTCTGCATGGGTGAACAAGGTCAGCTCTTTTGTCGTTTTGGTTTTTGTTTGGCTGGTTGGTGTATTTTGTTTTTTGAGACAGGGTTTCTCTAGGTAGCCTTGGCTGTCATGGAGCTCTCTCTGTAGACCAGGCTGGCCTTGAACTCACAGAGAGTGCTGGGACCAAAGGCATGCACCGCCACCACATAGCTTGCTGGTTCCTACTATGAGTTACGTTGAGATTTTTCATCGTTTTTCACTGCTGCTTTGCACATGCTACTCATTGTCCCAATTCACCGCTTCCATTTTGCTTTTTCACTTTGGGGTTCGATCTTACATGTAGAGGCAAGACTCAGTGTTCTCAGCTGTACACTGGGTTTCTTCACAGTTTGATTCACTTGTTGTCAGCCAGACATCTAGACGTTGCCGAGGATTCTGTGCAGTTCGTTCATTTGCTAACCTTACGTTAGAAGTCGTTCAGTGTATTCATCTGCTTCCAGTTGTCAGAATATCCTCCTCGACTCAGTATTTTTTATAGGTTCAACACATGTTAGACTCTCACCTTACAACTTCACTGTCTCTCAAATATTCTGACATTTTTCAAAAACCCTGTCAGCTTTGATGCATGCTCTCTTTCAACTATCTTCTACTCCAATACCTTGTGTTCCACAGTTTCTGTGGCATTTGTTTGATTTCTAGAAGATGTGTGTGGTTGAATATTCAAAGACATCTCAGAAATAGTGTTGCTCATTTTGGGATTTCTCCTGAAGATTGCATTGTTTCTTTGATCATTTTCTCTTATCTCTTATCTTTCAAGGATTTTTTTTAGTTAATCTTAGATCATCTTTAAAATACTTAATAAAATTATTGTTTTAATGACATTTATTTTACAGATTTTAATGAACATCTTCACAGAGTAAAGGAAATAAGTTCATTTCCAGTGAATGAATAATTACTATTTGCTTGTAAGTGAGCAGTCAATCAGAATGTTTCAGATTGTAGCCTCTGGTCTTTCTGATGGTGTCTCTTTACCTTTGAATATTCATAAGTTTCTTCTATGAATTTAAATGTGGATTATTCTTGTTTGTCAGTTGAAACATAAGCCATTTTTTAGAACTCCTATGTTCCCTGCTTAAAAAGTCTCTTCTTTTTAACAGCAGCCTCTAATGTTAGTCATGACCATCACAAGTGAACCTGCTAAGCTCCCTTGCTATAAGTGATTTCATACTACAAAGGTCTGATTTCTAATCTTAAAGGAGTTATAAATGCTGTATTCTGTCAGTACATGTGTGTATGTGTGAGTTAGGGCAAGTGTATACATTTATATTTTTCTTATATCATAAGGTCCTACCATATGTATTTACTTATGTAATTTTCCTGTCCCAATGTTTGGGAATGCCTTGGGTATGCGTGGAATTCTCTTTTTATTCCAGAATACAGAAATAAATTCAAAAGACTACTGATAGTTTGGATTTTGTTATAAATCCGGGTCTCCTAACATCTTCAATTGATTTTATTGCTTAATTATTTATCCTTACCCTGCTATCAACACAGATGGCCATAGTTCTCCTGTGTGACCACTGCTCGTGGTAAAGTCTGTTTGGAGCTGATAACTCAGACCATGGTGACAGTCGGCTGTGTCTCTGGAACTTTCCAGAGTTTAGAAGTCATCAGCCGGCTCAGCAGTTCATTCCTTAGCAGCAGGCAGTACTCTTGTTTTCCTTGGCTTTTCCTCCCAGTGAGTAGTTTAAGCCTTCAGCTCTCATTGTGAGTTGATTACTCTCTTCTGTTCACTTGAGCCATAATTCAGTAGAAGCTATTTTCACCCAAGGAAATGTGGATAGAAGCTGTGTAATTGAGAACAATGTCTTCAAGTGCAAATGGCCAGAATTTGACGCAGTAAGTCTGATGCACGCTAGCTTAGTTGTCCTTATAGGACAACTCACTGAAATAAAAAGGTGGGATTTTTTTTTCCTACTTTTTGAATGGAATCATAAGGGATAACTGTTAAGTGATTATGATCTTGTCTCTACTGAAAAAAACAACCTACATGTAATACATTTAATGGGGTCATGAATCTATCTAGGTGATACTCAAGGAATTCCATTATATTCACATTGAACTTTAATATTTTTAAAGTCTATTCATTTTATGTATGTGTTTAATTAACTGCTATCCAAATCATTTCAGAAGAATCGTGTTGAACTTAACTGAAAATAAATAATAGTTATTTAGATTTGGTTCTTATCATTACAAACCTTCAGAAAATAAATATGGCATCTTAACTGGCTGCTTAGTGAAACTTTTCTACATTGATGTGATGTAAATGGGATGAACAGAAACTCTGACTTTTTAGTATTTTTGAGTAGATAGTTGTCTAGACCATCACTGGGGATGAAATCAAGCTTAGCTTTGCTGAAACACAGGAGAGTATTGATCTTCGTAAACATCTGGTCCCTTTCTGGAAGCTGGTGGTGAGCAGCGGTGATCAAAGATGTAGAAATTATATAGTAGCCATTATACAACCAGAAAAAAAAAGTGAAACTGTACTACAAATTTTCTTTTGTATTTCAGGTCCTCCAGGGAAACGAGGGAAGAGGGGCCGAAGAGGAGAGTCTGGTAAGTGTTACTCAAGTTCTGGTGCAATACCTCTGCCTGTTCCCATTAATAGCGGTGATACTCCCTTGTTGGAAGGTGTGTGTAGGCTTGACACTTGTATTATAGACCGTGCATTTAAGCATTGTCCATTATGGTTTAGTAACCACTTCCATTTTTAGTTTTAGCTTGCTTGTTGACCAAGGCCAGTCCCTCTGTCTTGTGTTCCTTGGTAGTGTTCTCACCCCCAGATGGCATGCTAACATCACCATGTGTCTTCTCTGGGGGTGGCCAGTGTGGGGGTATTTATTTGTTTTAGCACTCTAAGGACAACACCTTGAAAAGCTCTATTATTTTATCCAACTGGCACAGTTTGTCATACTGCTGTGCTGTTCTTTTGGACTGTGGGCAAGGCTCCTGGCACAGCTGCAGAGCTTCAGCAATGATAGCAGCATCGTTAGTCTGTTGTTAGTCTGTCTGGCATTTCCATGTTGTCATTGAGGAGCAGTTGAGTGAGCTGGCCAGGGCTATTACAGTACGTTGTCTTGACTCCCACCTCAATAGTTTGTGCTTTCAGGACAAATTCCTGTAGGTAAAATCGACTAGAAAAGGCCAAATTAAGGTAGTTTGAAACCAAGATAGAGCAATAGGAAGGTTAGTTACTGCTCTTAACCTAGGAAAGCTGAGATTTCAAAACCATCAATATCCAGATGGCTGTCTTAGGAGAGCATCGGTTTCTCCTCTCATGATAGCTCCAGCATGCTCTGGAGTAGGAGTTCCCACTATCTAATGTTAGTCTTTAGCAATATTTAAGACAGTCACTGGATGAGTGTTGAAGTAATAGAACCCCAGCTTGCCATGCAGAGCAGGCAGCAGGATGAATTCTGGACATCTCATTTTCCCTTTCAAAAGAAGATGGTAAAGTGAAAGGAATTACGAAAATTCACCAACTGAGGAGGATGGCTGCTGAATTCTAAGTATTCTCAAAAGCTGTCCGTAAGCCTTCCTGAAACTAGACAGCTGGAAACTTGGGTAGGAATCCCTTCATAATGGACAGAGATTATAATAGAGGCTTTATCATGGCCTCTATTGTAAATGTTTAGGTTAGCATGTAGAGTAATGGGATTCATCATGACATCTTCATGTGTGTGTGTGTTATGACGGTTTGTTCTCATTTGTTCTGTTCCTCTACTACTGTCCCCTGTACCCCACCCCGTACCCCATGTCCCATGCTTTCCCTCCTCTAGCTGGTCCCTTTTCTTCCCCTAAGAGGTTTTGAGGGAAAAGAAGTGACAAAATATTGCTGGAGTCAAGCAATCACCAAAATGATCTTTTGTCAAAAGAAAACAGGATTAAGAAGGTAGAAGAAAATTGTGTGCTTATGTAAAGTCCTATGGAGCAGATAGAGATAAAACTACCTCCCAACTGCCTAGTTACTTAGAGTTGGTTTTTGGAGCATGCGCTGTGTGAAATGCATGAACGTTCTCAGTTTGTGCCTGTGTGTTTAAAGAAACCTATAGCGACAGCAGGACAGAGCTTTTGTTGTGCATTGGCGGAAGCACTGAAGAAAGGGCGTTCCTCAAGGAAACCCTGCGACAAACATCAGGCTTTGCTGATGAGTGTGTATTGGGCTCAGTTTTCTGGAGTGTCCATCAAAAGCAATCAAGAGTCTCCCAACTCATATTTTACATGGACTTTTATGTATTACACAGTTTTACTTCAGGTTCATGGACCTCTCACCTTCACAAAAGTTGGCTTTGGTGAACCTGAAAGTTTGTTCAAATTCTGTGCACAATTTGTGGTTGGCCATAAATTCATTCTGCTGTCATCTCAAAGGCCTATGATGGAAAGAAACCCCTGCGTTTGGGGTCTTGTTTGTGCTCTGAGAACTGTGGTGCTTCGTTATCTGTTAGTCAATTTTAACATTCACAGTCACTAATTTCTCTTTCTCTCTTTTTTTTTTCATCTCTCCCCCCTCTCCTGCCCCACAGGTCCTCCTGTAAGTACTGTCTGATGATTTTGGCTCTCTGCGTTAATCACAATCCACGTATGTTAAAACCCTGTTAAAAAACAGAGATATGGTTGAAACATAATTTAGGAAAATGTGACTGACCTTTCATGAATGTTTAAATGTGGAACATTATTTCTTTGCTACACAGTTTAGGTGTCATGTGCTATACTAGAATGCAGTATTGGGGGTGGACCTGAGTTTTTATGTTGCCACACACTGATTACTCTCTTGAGACTTTGGCATAACATATGAAACTTCTGATTGAGTCTTTTTCCTGGAATTCTGAAGGGCTTTTTTGCAAACAAGTCTCCAAGCTATTTCACACTTCTTTTTTCATCTGTTTAAACTCGTATCTGAGATTTTTGGATTTGCTGGTCCAGGTCTGCCAAATGTAGATGGCAACATGATCATGGAAGTGATACCCCCTGTGCGAGGCCAGTCCCCTCTTCTTAGGCAGAACTCCCTTTGAAGTCTGTTGGAGCCTTGCCTGCATAAGGAGCCGGAGACGGGCCCTTGGAGAATTTGTGCTCTTTTCTTTCCTTAGTAGGTCAGAGCCATGGCATTCCACTCCGCTTTGCACTCACAGGAATAGATTATCTTGTCAACTTTGAGTGCGATGCGTCTTTGAGTAATATGCTGCATATCAGCTGTCTGACCCCATTGTTTATCCTTGTGCACAAGGCCTTTTCAGTAGCAATGGTCATTGGCCGTGGGCTACTTTCTCATCCCAGAAAGCCAGTCTGCTGCACGTTTTACAGAGTCTACATTGCCAATTTATCTGAAGCCAACCTCGTCCAGGGAGAGGGATTAGCGGAGACTTGCCGAGTTGATCCGAGGAAGCATTGGCTTCTAAATATCTTTCACAGCCTTCCTGCCATGTTCAAGGATGGGACATGAATCATGTTTGCAATGATCTCGCTTCCGTGACTGACTTATCTGTTCTTGCTTAACTCTAGGTAGACAGCCTGCCCCAGGTCTAGAAGCCTTTACTCTGCCTTCATATTTAAGCTTCTGCCTTTAAAACTCAAAACACGACTACCCCAGAGGAAACTCTCAAGGTTACAGGGGGAGTGGCATGTTCCAGGCTTCTTTTTGTGGAACTTGTGTTGGCATTAAAGACTGAGAAGTTAATTCTCATGTCTGCATGATGGTGACCTTCAAGATGCAAGGGTTTCCTCTCTGAGTCATTAAAACAGCATGTAGGCATATTACTTCTGTTGCTCATGCTATCTCTTAGCCCAGGTTTTCTGCTAAGAGATTTTTGTGTGACTTATTGTATATAAAGAAAAGAGTATGTCTTAAGCCTCAACTATTGGGTGTACAATCACCTAGGCACTTTGTACACAAATTTTTAGTTTTGTTCATAGCAGCCCTCTGATATTATAAGCCCCATTGTCCAGTGATGAAAGTAAGGTTCATAGAAATTAATTCCATAAGGCCAGCTTGTGACGTTAAAATTCAGTCAGATACATCTGACTTTAGGTGATTTCAGCTTCCTACTTTATTCTTTATAAATTCTAAGTGTGTCATACAACAGACCAGTGTTTTACAAGTTAGGTAGACCATGGTTAAATCACATTCCCTGGCATAAATAATTACATGCAATAAAAGCTTGATCAGTCAATATAAAATGGCCATATTACAAAGCAAGCATGAACCCCCATTCTATCTTGACTTCATTTCAAACAAGTCATGACAAGGGTGGCAAACTACCTCATAGAAATAAGTTGTGGTTATGTGTTTTCATGCTGAATAAAAGATAATTCAAATCATTTACATGAAGAGTAAATAAGAAACCAGTTGCAGTTTAAATGAGAAATGTCCCCACTAGGCTCAGGTATTTAAGCACTTGTTCCCCCATTGGTAGCACTCCGTGAGGGGGTTATGAGGTACAGTCTTGCCAGAGTGAGTCTGCCTGATGCTTGTTGCCATTTGTAGAATGAATATTAAAATTTAATATTTATTCACATTATTAGTAATGCAGTGGTTGTTCTTTAACCAACTATTTACCCAAATACCCACAGAGAGAGACTAAGATTTCTTTAATTAAATACTGAACAATAATTACTCCATCCTAAACCTCCAAGCTAGTATAGTTTCCTCCCATTAAGATTTCCCACATTATGCTTGCTTTTTAATCATCCCCTAGGTTTGGTTTATTTCTCCTGCTTCTTCCTAGCTCTTTCCTCATGGCTCCATCTCCTGCTTCCTCTGCCCTTTCTCCTCCCTTCACTGGAAGATCCCACCCTAATTCTCTGCATTGCTCATCATTGACCGGTTGATTTTTTATAGGCAATACGGGGAACAAATGGTAGGCAAAGTTACACAAACTTGAAACAGTAGATATTTAGAATATGCATCACAAAGCCATGTGATGATTGAAACCCGATGGTGAGATAGAAAAATCAGCGTTTGAAGGAGCAAAGGTAAACTTTACACAGTCCACAAAAACATTGTGCCAACAGCTATGCCTCCCGGCCATGGTGAACTCTTTCAGAATTAACTCCTTTCATAAATCACATTTGGTCATGGTGATTTGTCACGGAAATAGAAAAGTAACTGGTATATTAGTAGTTGCAAGAAAGAGAAGAAAATGTGTAGACAACGCAGCCAGTTTTCATACAATGGAGTTGTACTTTGTTACTTATGCTGTGCCTGAGGCTCTTTTAGGTAAAATTATCTTGTCCTGAAATCTTGTTGAGCCTCTTACTTCTCAAACCCTATCCAGGATTTCTAAAAGGTATCTATCTGCCTTCCTCTCATTTTGCTTTAGAATAGGTAGCTTTATAGGCAATTTCTGTGGTATTGCTTATATCTTAATAAATATAAATGAATGGTGGCATCGTAATGATCAGATAAACTTACTAACAATGCATTTTACCTACAAACAGCATCTAATTACTGGCCATTTTAATGTCTTATGGTCTTCTTTTTCTATTTTTATTTTTTTGTTCTTCGTTAACTTTTTTTATTTCATCACTTTACAGCCTGATCACAGACCCTTTCTTCTCTCTTCCCAGCCCAGCCCTCATTTCTCCCTTCCCTTCTCTTCAGAGAAGGGTACCAGTTTACCCTGGCACATCATGCTAGAGTAGGAACAAGCACTTACTTTCCCACTGAGGCCAGGCAAGGTGGCCCAGAATGGGAAAGGGATCCAAAGGCAAAATCATAGACAGCCTCCACTCCAATTGTCAGGGGACCCACACGATGACCAAGCTGCACATCTGCTCCACATGTGTAGGGGTCCTAGGTCCAGCCTGTGCATGCTCTTTGGTTGGTGGTTTTGTCTCTGTTTCGCCCCATGGGCCTAGGTTAATTTCCTCTGTAAGTCTCTTCATGGTGTCCTTGACCCCTCCTGCTCACTCAATCCTTCCTCCCATTTCCCACACCAACTCCCTGAGCCTAATGTTTGGCTATGGGTCTCTGCATCTGTTTCTATCAGCTGCTGGATGAAGACTCTCAGAAGACAGTTATGCTAGGTTCCTGTTTGCAAGCATAGCAGTGTATTATTAATAGTGTCAGGGGTTGGCTCCCTATATGTAGTTTTTCTTTTCATTCTCTTCTGTGAACTGAAAACTAAAAGTTAATGCAATCTTATTTTTAGAAAAATGTTATTCCCTACTTTGTATCCTTAAAATGTACTCAGTTGTACCCACAAGTAAGAAACTAGTTCATATGTTGATATCAAGGTGTGTTACTCCTTTACCCATGAGTGCCTTTGTTTCATTCTGTGTTTTTCATGTGAAGCCCACAGGTAGCCTGCTAAGATGATAGTCTTGTGTCTGGTAGGCAGCCCTTGACACAGAGCTTATAGCAAGGAAGTCTTCAGGAAGTCTTTCTTGGGGACCTCTTGGGGTGCTGTGGCCTCTTATGAACAGGATGCTGGGGTGCAGCCCGGCATCCTGCTGTGCATTTTCTCGTCTTTCCCTTTCATATTGCTGTCAGAAATACTCGGTTAGCATACAGGGCAGCCCTGGGCACACTGCAGTGGTCCGCAATATGTTGACTGGCCAAGGAGAGGATGCCACGTCTCACTGTCTCCTGTTCTTGCTAAAACTCATCTGTTTCTTACTACCCTCTCGCAGTAATAGTCTCAGGATTAAAAGAACAAAATTAAAAAATACCTAATGATCAAATTTATCAACTTTCCACTTATGTCTTTATTTAATGTGTTTTGGAAAACTTGGATATATCACACTAGAATGTGTGGGTATATGTAATTGCACGGTTCTCTAGTCAGTTTATATTTTTATATATTGAGGTCATTTACAATTTAAAACTTGAATTACATTTCACATATCAATTCACTCCCCAGTAAACTGTTAAGCCTTAATCCATTTTGACAAAAATATCTATGAACAGCTGAAATGCAGCAATTTTATGATTATAAATGTGATCTGTGTTTCTCCATTTATCTACTTTTCTTCATATTAAGGTAATATGTTTTAAGCTCTTGCTCTAAGAAACACTTTGAAATGGTTTAGGCATCTAGCTCTGATATTACAACTGTATTCACTTGAGTGATGTGTCTGACCTTGTGTTTACTAACTATGAAATGATACTTTCTGATTGGGATAGCTTGTGTGTGTGTGTGTGTGTGTGTGTGTGTGTGTGTGTGTGTATGTTAACTATGCAAGCAGATAACCTACATGTTCATGAATAGAGGTCACAGGTTGACATGAGGTGTCTTCCTCAATCAAAGTCCATCTTGGACTTTGAGACAGGGCTGCCCACTGTACCTGGAGCTCACCAATTTGACTAGGTTACCTGGCCATTGCACTACCAATCTGTTACCTTGCCCCTCCAGGGTGATGGTTATCCCACCTCCATGCCTGACTTTTACATGTATGCTAGGGAACCCAAACTCTGGTACTCAGGCTTGACAGCAAGCATTTCACAGCTGAACCTTCTCTCTAGCCCTGTTTTTGGCATTTAAATATGAAACAAAGACTTAGATACGAATTTGGAAAATAACTTCAGGATTTTTT